ATATGAGAGGCCATAGTTTCCTAGCAATAAATACATGCTTATTTATATATTGTATAATGATCCAAATGGTCATTGGTGTGAAATCTTGATGTTAAATAGGAAAGTTGTCATTTATAATTATTTGGTAAGTGTAAGGGTCACCTAATGTTAGCTTTATTCAAGTTTTGAAATTAAAAATAGGTAGAGTATCACCTCTTTAGACTGAAGACTTCTCCTTTTTGTTGATGAGCTTGAGTGTTCATTGCGAGTGTTATGGTTCCAATGGAGTTTGCATGGCATTGAGATAAAAAGTTGGTAAACTCAGTAATTAGGTCGTGATGGTCTTGAAAAAGATCAGCAACCTGAACAAGATAGTAATTCCTTGTATATGAAATAATACCATTAATACAAATACAAATACACAAGTCTTCAGTGACTTACATTCTTATGGACCTCATTGGCTGATAATTTTCCCATTCTATACAAATTTAAAATAAATAGAAAATATATATAAAGATGATTTTCATCTTGAAGTCGCATCTGCAAGCAAATAGCAGTTAGAATAATCAACTTAAGTAATGGGAGAGTTAAGTTGATGTTTCTAACAATGGTGTGATGGTATCACCTTAATATGTTCTACAAGTTGCATGACTTGACAATTAGGTTGGTCTTCTTGTGTCAAGATGATTTGTGAATCTTTTGGAAGAAATATATTCAGACCCAAAAGTAGTTATGTATCTCCGTTGAACAGTTTCATCAACTTCATTTTGACACCCGGGACGTCAGTGCTAAAAGGAGATATTAATGAATGCAGTAGATCAACTATAAGTTATCACAAATCAACAACACATCAAATTAAAAGAACCATAAATTCTTACAAACCTGTTTTCCCTGAATTCTTGCAGGATACCATGAAACTCGACATATTTCTCTCTTGTCAGCCTGGATTCTACCACTTTGATGTATCGTTTAGCATCCAAAGCTGTCCGGGGCTTCATTGCACAAAGATCAAATGTATAAATCGAAACTTTGAACATAAGCAACACAAACCAGTAGACTGTAAAATCAAGAATAATAATAAAAAACTTAAGCACTAAGAAATAGTTCTGCCTTTAAAAATATAAAAATGAATAGGATTTATGGTGTTATCTCAAACTTGATCATTGATATAGATCTAATGTTCCTAATCCCATATTCAAATAAACTTAACAAAAATCTCAAGAATCCTAGACATTGATCACAAAACGGTGACTAGGAAAGAAAACCAACTTTCATTTCTAACAAAATTCACACTTCAAATTCACAGCAAAAAACACATGAAAGAAAGTTCACAGCTCTTGCTGACGTCATCGACAGACTTCTCCATACCTGTAATTAAAAATATCAAACTCATTACTTTTTAACCAAAAATTAAAACTTTTCGACACCTGCAACCCTAATTAACAATCAAGCCAGAAGAAACTAATTCTGAAAACCCCCCAAACCAAGAAAACACAGGAAACGAACGCAGCCCCACCACCTGTCACGCGATCACACCAGTTCCTATTTTCTGCAAAACAAAATTTAGCATTTGAGTGTTTGAGATTTAATATGAAGAAAAGAGATTGCAAGAAAACAATCAAAAACTATGAATTTCACACTTTAAAAACATTAGAAGTCGTGGAGTTTCATCAAGATTCACTTGCCCACCTTCCCAGAACTGAAGTGAAATGTGTTGATGTGTACGATCACCGGTGTAGATACTCTCCTCTGAACTTCAATCTGAACTCTATATTTATGGATCTGGTGATGAAATCTAGGAGGTTGAGGGTGAGACTGTGTTTGTTGTGTGCACGTTTTATTAGAAGAAAAAGAGAGAGAGTGGTCGGTCATAGTGACGTCAAAAAGCAGTGACCAGGAACCGGTTATGCCGGTAATGAGTCTTACGTGGTGTATTTGACTACCTGGTTAAACATGCAATGTCCAGGGGTAAAATTGTCTCTACAAATATTTACCTCAAGTCTCATCAATATCTATTATAGTGTAGTAAGTAGTAAATGAAAACATTTAACATGAACAAATATTTTATTACTTACTAATTAAGAAAATAAGTTTTTATGTAATACTTAGTCAAGATAAGTTATAAAACTCAAACATAAAAAAAAATCAAGTTTTTTATTTTCTTTTGAACATTATGATTTGTATTTTGTTTTAGGACCAAGCAATAAAATCGTTGGCCCATAAGTAAGAGGCCAATAACATTAACTTTAAGTAATGGGTCTAAAGAGTCGAAAAGTGCATTAAGTAAAGATTTGACAATTACATTTAAACTAGGATTTGCTCACGTGTAATGCAACAAAATCTATATATAAGCTAATGTGTATAGTACAAATTTTTCTATGAGTATTAAGTTGATGTTGTGATGAAAATGTATTAGTTGGTTGATGAGTGATTGATTAGGTCGGTCAAAAATGACTTGGCTATTGAAATCAGCTTCAACAAATCAACTTAATTAAGATTAAGAAGAATCTGCTCTTTGAAGAAAAATTGTTGATATACAAATCAACTTAATTAAGATTAAGAAGAATCTGCTCTTTGAAGAAAAATTGTTGATATGGCAAGATCACGAATCGAAATGTAGATCATTTCTGTAACACTTTTGCAGAAAGCTTCGGCCTTTAATCTATATCAATAGAGATGACAGTGGGGAAGAAAGGATAAAAGAAACAAAAAAAAAAATTGGAGTGAAAAAAATACGACGACATGGAAGGAAGGATAAACACAGACAAAAAAAAGGCATCAACTTAAAAAGGAGTGATGGGGTCGAATTCTTAACCTTTATGATAAAGAAAACATGCATAACTGTCACACTAAAATGCTTTTAGAACAAATTCATTCGACATATTTTATAAACAAAAAATTTAATGTACTACTCGTTACTATAGGGTTTGTATCCATACATATATATGTAGCATAAATTCATAAATCTTCATAAACATGTCATAAATCAAGAGTATCATGCAACTTGAATTCAAGTTAAAAACGAAACGAAATTTGTGTCCAAATAAGAACGTGCGCGAGATATCTATTATGGAGAGTTAACTTGACACGGGCGTCAAGATATCTATGCATTCCATTGGTTATCAAATCAAGCCTATTTCAGCGAGATCTAGCAATATGATATTTCTCTTTCAAAATCCATTACAAATAGATAAAAATGAGAAAAAAAACAAAAAGCTATAAAAAGGAAAATATCTCTCTCTCTCTCTTCTCTCTCTCTCTCCCTTTAAAAAAAAATTATTCACCGCAAATAATGATAAAGAGCCTGATGGAGATGAAGATAGCATGATGTGGTATGGTGTGGTGTGTTAGCCAACAAAAAATAATAAAATTACCAAATAGGGTTAAATGGTAATTTTCATATATTTAATGATAGGCTTCTAATGTTGTTAGTGATAATAACTTGATTCAAACCATTTCAATGGTGTAAGGATTGTAAAAGCAAAATATATTTTGAAAACTTATCTCTAATTTTCGTATAAGATTCATTTAATTTACTCTACATGTAAATTTTTTTATTGACCACTTACTATCCGTAGAATCTTTATCCCGCAAATACTCCATCTACATAGCATCATTTACAAAAGTTTAGACAATATAACATTTATGAAGATGAAAAATTACACATAAAAATAATGTATCTTTTGTTATTTTTGTTTTAGGAAACGTGGTTTTAAAACCAAAGTTTATATGTTTATGTTGTAACTTTCTCACATGATATTTGTGATGTCAAAGTCCCTACTGATGAAGAAGAAAATTTGGACGATGAACTTTAGAAGCAAAACAAGAACAATCAATTCTGGAGGAGACTTTCTTGATAAAGAAACATTTACTAACATTCAATATTTATAGAGAAATCTCATTAAATAGTTTTAGATTTCCGATACACATATATACATAGAAAATTGGCAATAACTACCAAATGACAGTTAATGTTCAGTTAATAACTGTCAAAAACTGACACATAGAGCTAAATCTAGATTACTTCATTACATTTAACACACCTTAATTAAGGTGTTTGTTTTTTCAAAGCAAAAACACCTGAAATCTATGGACCACATCTGCAACTCTCAGCAACAGAAGAATTGGACCAAACGGTTGCAACCTGTAATAAGAAGTCTGTTTTTTTTTAACGTTTACTGACTGCTACAATAAACTGAAATTAATCATATATTAGTTAAAAAATAATTCTAAATCAAATTAATCATATGCAAATCAAATATAAAGATCATTGTGATTATATAATTTTTAAAAAAGTTTATATAAAATAATTAAACATAATATTTGTTAAATAACAATAAATAAAATTATTAATTTAGCAAACAATATGTCCATTTTGTTAAATTTTCGAAGACGGTGATTATTTTTCCTGTTAACTTCAATAAATTTGGTAATTTTATTGATTAACTTTATAATTTATTAATATTTGGTTATAAACAATGTAACATAAACAAAAAATATTTGTATGAAATTTAACAAATGGTTTTGAAATTACGTAAAATATACTCGAATTGATTATAGGGAAAATATCACAAAAGTTACTTTTACACCAAAATTCTAATTTGACACTGTGTTTTTTTTCTTTCAAATTTAACACTGTGTTTTCTAATTTGTTACAATTCTGAAAATTTGACCGGTCAAACCGGTTGCCTGCTGACGTGACATGATAACGTGTTAGTGTTTATGATGTGGCATACTGACATAGCATGTCGACGTGTTAAAATTGTACTTTTTTCACAAAAGACACTAAGTTTTTACTTTTTTTTCATTTTTGACACTAAGTTTTTTTTTCAATTTTGACACTCCATTCTTTTGTTCCAAATCAAACATCATTTTTTTCCAATTTTGTTCAATATTGATCATTTTTCATTTAAAACCGTATAAATATATATTTTTTTCATTTAAAACTACATTTTTATATAAATATAAGGTTTTTTACATCCAAACCATAATGTTATGTATAAATATCTATTATTTATATTATAACCGTATTTTACATTAAATACGCAACGTTAAAATAAGTTTGAAGATGTGAAGTGCACAATCAGGTAAGCTAATTTGATATCTGAAACACGAGGGTCCGATGTTCACTTTAATTACCAATAGACCGTTCATTGTATATGTTTTTGATTTTTGGTTCTTGCAGATATACTTCTTCTCCATTTAATATTACAATAAGACATGAAAAATACGGTTATAATATAATTAATACATATTTATACGTAATATTATGATTTGAATGTAAAAACCTTGTATTTAAACAAATTATGGTTTTAAAATGAAAAAAAAATGTATTTATACGATTTTAAA